ACCGGTCGTAAACACCCATCTGAATCTACCTGACTGAGGCAGCCGCCTAAGGCATACCCAGAGCAGTCGGCCTCCACAATTGTATCCCGATCTAGATCCCATTGCGCTAGTACAGGCTTTGATGAGAAAATCTTCTTGAGTCGACTGAACGACAAATCCTGTTCACTACCCCAGCGCCAAACGCTCCCTTTCTTTGTAAGGGCGGTTAACGGTGCGACAATTTCAGAAAAATTATTAACAAAGCACCGATAAAAATTCGCAAACCCCAGAAACGATCTAACTCCAGTGACCGACGTTGGAGGCTGCCATTCCATGATCGCTTTTACTTTAGCTGGGTCAACTGTGATACTTTCGCCAGCTCTTATAATGAAGCCCAGGTATTTGACTTCCTTACACATAAAATCACACTTATCAATATCCAGATATAGACCAGCTTTATCCAGCTTCTCAAGAATGCTCCGTACCGATCTCCAATGGTCTTCTCTACCTCCACTGGTGTAAGCTAGCACATCGTCCATATAAGCTGTCGCGTCTAGGTCTAGGTGCTCACGCAGTTGCTCATTGATATACCTCTGGAAGGAGGCTGGCGCATTTACGAGACCGAACGGGGTTACGAGCCATTCAAAAAGGCCCAATCGACAACGAAACGCGGTCATCCACTCATCACCCTCCCTTATTCTCAACCGATGGAATGCCGATTTTACGTCCAGCTTTGTGAACCATCTTGCTTTCGATAATTGCCTCAGTGTTTCCTTAAATAGAGGCAAGGGGTATCTATCTGGTACAGTTATTGCATTGAGGCCACGGTAGTCTACACACAGGCGTAGCCCACCATTTGGCTTTTTCGCAAATAATACCGGAGAGGCTGCAGGAGATTTACTTTGTCGAATCCACCCTTTCTTTAACAAGTCTGTTAATGTTCGACGGAGAACCAGGAGTTCTTCACAAGACATTCCGTAAAGTGGACCCCATGGTGGAGTCATGGGCTTTCCATTCTCTTCACGCAAGTTTATCGCATGGTCCAATCGTCCTCTTGATACGGGTAAGTCGTCTGCACCATTTCCATCCGCAAACAAGTGTGCATAGTCTCTAACTTGTTCAGGTAGGCGCTTGCGAGCATCTTCTAAGGTTACCGAAGGCTTCGTCCGTAATGCTTTGTTTATGTCTTCTAGAGTTGCTTTACAGATTGGTACTTTCTTTATCAAAGAACCTATATCTTTGGCAGATGAAGCTCTTGGACGAGCGACATTCCTGAGCTCTTGACGCCATCGCTTGACACTGAACACCCTGCCTCCAGATTTCCGAAGGTCTAAACGTTGCTCCTTTGCATGAATCAAGACATCTTGATCCTCTAGCCATTTCTTACCTAAAATCATTGGATGGGTACTGTGAGGTAATATGTATAGCCGTAAATTTGTGGTGACGTAACCATCGAGGTCAAGAGATATTCGGGTAATATACTCAACCGTTGGCTTATCTATCGTAGAATTTTCTGCAGTTTCAATTGGTCGAGGGGTAACTGCAATGCGCGGCAGCTGTAGACTTTTGGCAAGTGTATCATCTATGATACCTGAACACAAACATCCATTATCTACCAAGGCTTGCACCATGGTTGTATTGTTTATCAAAGCATTTACAAGGAATGGAGTTGTATTCATATTGCATTCTACACTGTCTGCTGCCTTGTGCTCCTGAACGCGACTCTGCTCAGGAGCATCTAGTTTTCCGTCACCGCCTCATCTGCTGAAGCTACATTTTCAACAATCTCATAGAGTGATGGATCAAGATTATCTAAGGTTACATGGCTGATGACTGGACCCTTTGCTCTCGGTTTTTGCGCTGGTAAAAGTCGACAAATTGCTGTATTGCATCCCTTCAGCTCGCATCTAAAACATCTTCCTGCACGTCGGAGTTGGTCAATTTGTTCTCGTAATTTCCACTTAGCCCGCAACGGTTTTCCATCTGGATTACGTAAAACATTGGTGGTATTTATTCCCCCCATGAACATATCTCCATCGTGGTCGAGGTCCCCGACAAGTCCTGAATGTCTGCCGGAAGTTGTCCGTTCTCTCATTGCGGCAGGTGGGGAATAGTACTCTTGGTTATCTCGAACTGTTTGCCTTCCCTTATTTGACGCCTGGGTTGTATTTTCCATCCAAACCGGGCCCTCCTGTAATTCATCATGTTGTTGGGCTATTTGCGAGACTATCCTTGTCCATTCAAAATAGTCATCCGATGGGATTAAGTGGTTATTGGCAAGAGCTGTACGTAGAGTGGGATTAAGTGTTCCACGGAGCATGGTGATCTTTGTCTCATTGGGCCAGCTATCACTAAAGGCCTCAGTCAACTTATTTTCCCAGAGTGGGAAGAAAGAATTCCAACGTTGATGCAACCCCATCTTCATCTGGTTTAACTGGTTCCTCGCCCTCACTACTCGTGTCGTGTCCCAATTACTCCTGTCTAAAAACCGAATGAAATCCTCTAGTTTCTCTTCACCATCAGGTCCCCCCGATTCAAAGAACGCACTAGCCTGTCTCTGAGCTTTGCCCTCCAGGGCCTTGTAAATCATTAGGAATACTCGAGAGTCAGTATAACCAAATGTATTCTAATCCATTTTTTAGGCTGCCAAGACACCCCTACGCCACGCTGGATACATGGATTTATCTCCTCCGTACACAGGAAATTTCGTTGGTTTTAATTTTCCTTGGGTATTTGCTGGATCTTTTTGTATGCATACTTCAGGCATTGAGTCAGAGGAGCGTTTAGGGCGTGATTCTCCGTCGTCCAGTCGCTGACGTAGCTCTCTGATTTCTTGGAGAAGGGTAACTGTGTCAATTGATACGTTATTTGATTCTTCGCTCATCCTGAAGGATTTAAGATTTTGCGATATCTCTCTGATACTCATCGGGGGTTTGTTTTGTACCTAAGCACTCTGCCTTTGTCGTATCATTTTCGTTTTCGTAGTTGTTATATTATCGTATTCCACTTTTCGTCTTTTGTTGTCCACGTATCGTGCTTTTGTTCTAAATTGTCGTAAAGGATAGTTGAATTGTATGTCACAGATCAACTATGGAAAGCAGGGAGCATTTGTATGGATGATGGTAAATTAACAATTCAACTATGTAGAACTAAGCTACAGATACTTAGCCAGGTATTTATACAGATTACTACACTCCAAGCCCTTCCATCTAAGGTCAGTTCATTTCTAGATAATTCCAGTTGCAACTCTGAGAATATGGTTTCTAGTAGCTTCTCCAAGTTTCAGTTACAGTCTTGTTCATGTCGAATCTTATCTAGTACCTTCGACAGTGGTTCTGGTATGTTCTGCAAGGCTATTGCGCTGGCCCACCCCCTGGTGGTTATACGCCAGTACTTGCCATTACTGGCTACAGGAAAATACCGGCTTCTTAGCCGTTACAGGGGCTGTGTGCTACGTGCTTTTTGGTAATTTTATGTATATAAATACTCGGCGTGAAGAAGCATTATTCTTCACGCAACGTCTTCTTCAATTACCTTAACAATATATTTGTTTACTATTGTGGTTATGAGCTTAGGTTAGTATCACTATGCATGCTGACCTTGTACGTGTATATAGATTAATGAGTTTTAGGTTGTGGTTGAAGGTGTATCTGAGGTTCACTATACTTGATTGTTCTTTACTAATTGTGTGCCGAGCACTTGCTACTTATACTTTTGTGCGGCCGCTAGTTGGCTCCTGACCACAGGAGCTTCCTCCTACAGATATCCCAAACAATACAGGAACTACACAAACAGCGTAAACATCTAATCACGTTATGTACATGCAAGTATCCTAGCTGCATAACATGCCCATCACAACATTTACCCATCTCTTCTTTGGGAAGACCATTTATCTCTTTCCAGCTCTTCATCAGCAAGACCCACGTGTAGCCTCTATCGCTCCTATCTACCTATTTGTCTCTTCCTAAAAAAGACCAGTCATCCCTTCGACCCACTCATCACCTTCATCTACCACCTAGACCTTTGTTACACCACATACGCACCCTGTGGAACACTGTCCTAACCTCGCCCTTGAGAGTATCCCTATAGACAGGTTCTAGTTAGTTTGATGGAATTCTAAGCTACTCTAGCAATTAGTTTCTAGATGTTTCGGGATGGTATTTTGTACTCCTACCAGTTCGATGGGCTTCGATCAGATTCTAGGTCACTCTCAGGAGTTCGACAGGAATCGGGCTGGAACTTGATTACTGTAGTCTGTAGCAGATAGTGTCGAAGTATAAGTAGCTGAGGTATCTTCATGTCAAAGCTCTCCAGCTTTCAGTCTTGTGTTATTCCCTTGACATCCGAGAATCAAGACCCACGTCTTTATTGTTATTGTATTTTCTTTATCATCAAGGACCCAAGATTTAGCGCCTACCTGTTCAAGTTAAGTAATCAAGTCCCAAGAGATCCTGACACTTGGATTGGGATTGGTGAGCTGGAAACTGAAAACTATTCATTATGCATGGTTGCAAAATGTCAAGGTACCCTGTCAGGCCAGTGAGTCTATTAATTTGCTACACTTGGATCAGTGATTATAGTTGATGATAGAGCTAGAATTCCGTTTTCTATATTGTGCGAAGTTAGTGATCACAATGGCTAATAGTAGTTGGAATGAATACAAGATTGAAGATTAACAGGGGATCAATTAACTCCACCTAATCTTACTCGTGGGATTCTGTAACAATCAACTCTACCCTCTTCTGCCAACACGTATCCATTATTACTCCCAAAGCACTTTCGAGTCAGAATCTTCGCCGAGATGACCATGAAGTGAGAAATATAAATAATATGAATGCATCAGTTCTCACTCCACATTTAGCATCAGCTTTCCTGTATAAATGATGGCGATGACCGCGCTCCATCTGGCTCAATAAATCAAGCCAGCTTACACTCAAGTGACCAGAGAAATATACAACACCTAGCAAAAAGAAAAAGGTTTCCCTCCACATTTTTATTCATTAAAACTCAAACTTGTCGTTATGACACCATTGAAATACCTCACTTTAATTGCTTTCACCATTATGCATGAAGTCAATGGAGCTTGGACAATAGAAAAAGGATTAAATTGTGGTGGCGCTAAATATTCTGGCCAGAACCTCGTGCAATTTCGCAATACGCATTGCTCTAATGAGAGGCATGGTTTTTATGCACTAAATCAGTATAGTCACCCAAGAGAGTCATTCGAAGATGAAACTGGGATCAGTTTATATTTCTTAAGACTCCCTACAGTATCACAGAGTGGTACAATGCTTTACAGTCAGTTACTCAGCCTTTGATAGCTCTATATTTCTATGATTCTAAAACAAAACTGGCAAAAGGTACCCCATCTGATCACTACCTTGCTGTAAACGACCGCTGTGTTTTCTATTATGGTGCTTCAATTACTGGATCGGTTCAAGATAATCAACAAGTGACAAGCAACCAGATACAGAGATGCGTACCATTGACTGGATATTTTTAGTGTGAGAGCCTCAACTATTTGAAAATAGAGCTCTTGTATGAATGGTCCCACAGACTAGGAACTTTATTTTATAGATGAGATGGCCATAGATTTGACTAGATAAATTATATCAACAAATGAAGATTTTTAGACTTATATGTGTAAAAATGACGGAGTCACATGGGAATGACCATGAGTGTTAAGCTCTTGCAACATAGCACTTTAAAGGGATTAGGACTGGATTTCATACATCAATGAAAAGGTGGCCAATTGTATTATTGTGAAAACAAAGTGGCATATCTCGGTGTGTAACTATCACTGAGTTCCCTTACTTTTATAAGGCTAGGCAGGTACATCTCATTCTAATTGAGTTCCCCAATTGATACTAGCTTAGAGATGAAATGTTCCTACACTTCGTGTCACGGATCAAGGAACTGGCGCTGGTGCAACTATGTGGTTGATAGTATGTAAATTATCATTCTGAAGAGAAAACTACTAGTCGGAATACTTCGGTGGTAATTGATATCACAAGCTTGATGTAGCAGTAACAATTATGGTACGTATGAATTGATCTATCTCCCCCCTGTCTTCCTAGAAGAAAAACATCTATAAACCGTAAAACCCCCGTCTCCTAACGCCATTCCCAAACGGGTACCTCATTACTCATCAACACAATTAGTCATTAGTTCTAAGGAAATACATATTGATTATTTGATTGTTAAGTCATTAAACACTGGCAACAAGCAAAACAAAAAGTTAATGCCATACTTGTACATTATACACGGTCTACAATATCTTCGTTCCTCTCCACCCATTCATTGTGATCAATTTTGATAGTGTTGGTGTCAATAAGATCTCTCAGAGCATTAGAACACTTGGATTTTGTCATTGCATCTGCTGGATTGCAGTCTCCTTTGACCCAGCATACATGGGTAATTCTGCGTCTCTCATACAATTGACAAAGGCACATGAGATCTATCATAAGTCTCTTTTTGCGAGTGGTGCCGAGTTTTACCAAGCATTTGTATAAAGATTTCGAGTCAGTACAAATAGTCAGAGGAATGTGCATGCCAAGGATTTGCTCGAGAGTTGATTTTATGGTTGCTCCTGAGTCAAATCCATGTACCATTGCGTACAATTCTGCAGTGGGGACGCTTCTAGTTATTCTTTTACATTTTATGGAGGACCAGTGTAAAATATTCGCTTTATTTTCTCTATCTGCGAGCAGTATTATGAAACCAATCTGGGTCGAGAAATCTTTGTTGTTCGCAAATGATGAGTCAGCAAATACTATCACTTTTAATGAATTAATGTCGAGTTTTATGAACTTCAATCCTCTGGATGAATTTTCTTTTTGCCAGTTAATTCTTTTGTTCAGTGATTTGATATCTGATTCATTCGGATCGATAATTTGAGCAGCGGCAGACAGGTCAAATGAAGCTTCTGGTTGACACAAACTTGCAACATATGCCCCTCGAGCTCTCTGGGCAACATATTGTTCTTTTGGTGTTAGTCCCTTTCTAACTTTGTTCCTTGGGCTGATTGTATGTATAGGTATAGGAGAAATTGGGCACAAATTTTCACAATGCTGTGCCTGTGTTAGAACAATTGATTGGTCCTCTTCAAGATTGAGTTTTCCCCCATTAAATTTGATTGGAGTTAACATTGTGAGCATCTCTCGTTCCTTTGCAATGAATCCTGCTTTGGTTAACTCTTCTTGTTCCCTCTTAATAAACGCTTCATTAGCTCCGAAAAGTGTATCATCTGTCTGCATACCAAGTATGCAGACCGCATTGCCATCTTGTCTACTATGCAGGAGGCAAGGATTGTACGTTGATTGCACCATTTGTAAATTGTTGGTGTGGTGTTTCAAGTAAGTGTTGTACCAATGATTTCCTGCCTCAGGTATACCATACAAGGGCTTGATAACTTTTAATACGGATCTTACTTCTGCTAGTTCTGGAGGTGGTCGGATGAAAAAATCGCGGCACAAATTTGTCAATGATTGTACATATGCCTGAGATATGTCACGGACGTATAAATTGAGTTGTAGTGTGGTAGTTAAGGCGAGGATAATTTGTTGACTAACCCTTTGAATGGTGGGTGACTGAGTTAATACGAAGTCTTTTCCATGATCCCTCTACGCTTGTACAACGAGTCGGGACTTTTCAAAAGCTTTGTCTGTTCCTTTGTTTTTCACTTCATCAACAAATCGCGAGTTGAAAATTTTTGTTCCAAGCGGAATATCTGAGTATTGGACAAATTCAAAGACACCTTTTTCAAGCAAGCCTTGTATTTCTTTTTGTCGGGAAATTTGAAATGAAGGATCCTGTGTAGTTGTGTGAGATATAAAATGTGCAAATAAATTAGGCGCATTACAGATTTGTTGGGGCTGCTTGCAAGTTCGAGGCGTGTTTTGGTGAGGTATTATTTTATCGTTACTTTGGACGTCCCCGGTGTGCACTGATTTATCATCGTTCTGATTGTTTGTATCGTCAATTTTGTAATATGGTCTTACTGAAGTTGAGCGAAAGTCGGTTGGTCCTGATGGTAGATCAATTACACAAGTTTCGTTGTTAACTTGAATTTGTTTAAAAGGGCTGCTCCACATGCCTGCTTGGCCAGTATTTCCTTCGCGCCACACTAGTACATCGGAGTTTAATGGTAGGTCATGTAGACTTGTTGTGTTAGGGCCGTTTCAATGGTTTAATGCGGCGTTCACACTTAACTTAGCGCGTAATTTGCCAACCTCTTGCATTGCCTTTTTGATAGCAGCAGCTCGTTGAATAACGGATGGCATTGGAGGGTCTGAGTTGGTCATTCTTGGGTATGCTCCAAATACCAAAAGAGTTGGAACTAGTCCATTGGGCCCAGCAGTGTCATTTATCGCTTTAACTGCCATTTGAAGCATGCAGTCTTTATTAACTCCAGCTCCCCTTAATTCATCAACTATTATTTTGTACGCTCGACAAATACAGGAATGGTACCGCTCTACTTTTCCAATGGACCAATGCGCTTCAACAGGAACGTTCTTTACAGAGATTGCCATTGAGGATGCATTTTGGTTGAACTCTTTGCTTACAAAGTTTTTACCAGCATCTGTAACTATGCAGTCTGGAGGTCCAATGTAAGTATCTATCCAACAGGCACGTATAGCGTCCCACGTGTGTTTGGCGGAGATACCATTCAGCCATCTAGCAGCCTGAAAATTTGTTGCATCATCAACAATGTGCAGAACTGGATTATTATCAATATACACTATATCAACAAGAATGGAATGGTTGAATTGAAGGTCAGTGTCTTTGAGATTAAACCTGAAATGATTAGGTGCCCCTCGGTGCCTTTGGCAATGGTTGCAGAATTTAGTTAAATGATCTAAATATTTTCTAGGAACATCGCTATGTCCTGATTGTTTTAATACAGAGAAAATTCCCTGAGCAGAAGGATGACCGAATCGACGGTGTAGTCGCTTTAGCTCTGCTTCATTAAGGAAACAAGGATTCGTATCAAGAGATGTCGAAATTGAAGATTTTAAAAACTCCCCCCAAAGCAAAAATGCATGACCAAAACGCCGGATTACAGGAATTTTCTTGCTAGGAGTTACTAACTGGTTTTTTAGGTTGTTGTAGTAAACTCCGAGTTTGTCCATGTCTAGAAGTGATAGGAGAAATGGCGTGTCTGCTTGAACAATATGAAACTCAATCTTTCCGATTGGAGTGTCTAAGTTGGTAGTACCTATTGACGTACTAGAGCCTATACCAAATTGTACTTTAATCAACCCAGCTTTTGCTTCATCTAGATAAGCGTTTGAAATTTTCTTGAGCGCCAAGAATTGTTTGTAGCCTGCTGTGGAATATTTCGATGCACCAGTATCAATAACAATTCCATAAAAATAGGTATCATTGTATCTTCCTGGATTTATAAATATAATTGGGTCAGTGTGTGGCTCACAGATTGTTTGCGTTTGATCTTTACCAGTCAGAGAGTGAACAAAGGAGTTATCAGCGAGGGTCGAAAAAATTTCTTGGGGCTTTTCGACAAATCCCATAGATGTAACAAATGATTCGTCAAAGTGTGATTGCCCCTCAATGTCATCAGTAGGTGAGCTCGTTTCTAAAATTAGAGTGTCCATTTTGAACTCTAGGTCGGATTCCTCTTGTTCAACCTTGTCGTGATGGCCTTCCAATTCTACGATAATTTGTTTGGCTTTCTTTTCAAAACGTTGCAGCAGTTTTTTCTTGAAACTATTTCTAGCTTCTTCTTGCCCTGCGGTTGAATGATTGTGCAACCAACACCCCTGACGGTTACAAACGTAACATCTCTTGTTAGAAGGCTGTGTTTGGCTTGTGTGTTGATTTATGGGTGGTTTTAGTGATGGTTGGCTGGGGTTAAATTTATTAGCTTTATGAAAACGCCGGTCAGTGAAAAGTTGCATTGTAGACACCTCATTGTTTGCTTCAGCTGAAGATATTGACGCCTGGAGGTCGTTTATTAAACCACTTAGAGTCTCACTTGGCTTAAAGCATGCAAGTTGAAAAGCTTGGACTCCTCGACAAGCATTTATGAGTTTAAGATGTAGATGCTTGTCTGTCCTATACTCAGGGTCGAAACTTAGTTGCAAAAATTGAAGTTCTTTTACCAGCAGCATTAGGCATTCTTGGACTGATTTGCCTTTGCTTTCATTTTCCATTATGACTCGGGTTGAAGAGAGAGCTTCCCATCTGGCTAACCTGTTTCGTTTTGTTTCTGGACCTTCGAAATATTCTTTTGTTGCAGTGCACAAATTATCAAAATCCTTCCGATGTCTGTTTGATGTGATAGAATAGTAGTGAGTTAGGGCCGGGCCGCTAAGCATAGTCGAATATGCTTTTGCGTGTAGTTGTTCCGGTATCCCAGACTTTTCACATAATTCCATGAAGATATTTATCTTAAAATCAAATGTATCATCTTTGCCATGGTACTTCAAGTCAGGCTCGTACATCTTCGAAAGATTTGCTAATTCTCTCGCATAATTGGCAGGT